TACTACTACTCCTACTACTACTACTCCTACTACTACTACTCCTACTACTACTACTACTACTCCTACTACTACTACTACTACTATTACTACTACTACTTCTCCTACCACTCCTACTTCTTTTACTCTTACTACTACTACTATTACTACTACTACTTCTCCTACTACTACTACTCCTACTACTACTACTATTACTACTACTACTTCTCCTTCCACTCCTACTTCTATTACTCCTACTACTACTACTATTACTACTACTACTACTACTACTACTACTACTCCTACTCCTACTGCTACTACTACTACTACTCCAACTACTATTCGAGCAGTGTCGACTAGACACCCCTTACTTTTACCAAGCTTTTGTTGTTGCGGCACCTAGTCAAGGCAATTTATTGAGGCACACCAAAAACAAAAAACAATTGTTATATACTAATTGCAGCTTGTTTTGGCTTTTATTTTTTTAAGAACAATTGGCAGGTGGTTGGCTTTTTTATTGTTTTCGCTTTGTCAACTGCAACACGTGCTCGGCCGATCAGGTGCTGAAAGGCACGCCCACATATGTTTAGTATACCAGTTCAGATATAGCCCAACCCAAGAGGAGCACAGCGAATGCACCAATCACGTCGCTGTTTTTTTTTTTTTCTGTTTTCATTTCATCAATTGGCCTTGAACTTGGCCACATTGTTGTTGTGTTTGGGGCTTAGCTATATAATGCTTTTTTTTTTTGCTGGCAGTCATCATAGGAAGCTTAATAAACATTGAATTTAATCTGTGCCAAAGGCTGCAAAAAACAATTGTAAAAAACATTGCCGCCCCTGACAGTCGATTGACTTAAGGAGGTCAGTATCGCCAGCTCTCTATTTATTTATTACAAAAGGTTTCATTAAACAAAGAGCTGCATTAATAACCTAGTTGTGTTTATGGCAGATGGCAAACTGGCATCTTTCGGAATCGCATTGCCACCTTTAGCATTGCATATTGATAGAGCGAGAGGGATTGTGTGTGTGTGAGAGAGAGAGAGAAAGTATTCACTTTGTTTCAGTCCCTTTTTTGCTACAGCCAAATTGAAAATGGTTTTTGGACCAAGTCCAAATGACTAAATGCGTTTTGGGCGGCAGCAGATGACGCGCAAAATAGATAGAGAAAGAGAGAGAGAGAGAGCAACTGGTAAAGAGGGAGATAGAGAAAAATAAGAAACTTTTTGGAAATTAATTCCAGTGGGCTGTCAGAAGTAAAAGAGAAAATCTTATAGCTGTCAAACACGAAAATTATAAAATTACAAAAAATATGTCAACTAATTAATGAATATTATATAATTTATGACCCAATGAAAATGGAATAAACATGCAAATTTCTACACCAAGAAATCTAAAGAATCTTTGACTAAAAAAGTTCAATGTACTAATATTTAACTTAATTCCGCTAAAATGAAAATATATATATAAGAAAATCGTCTCCACATCGGATGCTAACAATTTAAAATAGAATTCGGTATTTCTTCAGTTTTTTTTATAATAATAAAAAATCACAGATTTATTTAGTATCTGTGGTCATTCGTATAGCGAATGCAAATCTGTGGAAACTAAGAATTAGCTAAAAATAAAAATTGAACAACGCATTAGTGTTTTTCCAAAAGGAACATTTCCGTTTTTAAGTTTTCTCTTATACTTTTCTTTATTTTTATATTTACGGCCATTAATTTTTTAATACTATTCAGCTGAATTTATGTTTTGTTTTGATGAGTAGCTCACATTTTTTCCTTCTACTTTCTCGCAAGTGCGTCGTCTCTAGCTGCCACGCAGTGCCCCAAAAAAATAAATAGATACTTCTCAGACTCGTTTGTAGTGTCACCCGTAAGCAGCTTAATTGAATTAAATTGGGCAAAATGTGCGGCCCGGCGGTGTTAATCAATTGATATGTCTCTCTGTCTGTAGCTCCCGAGTGGCACCCTAACAACAGCAAGAACTTTTGCATAAAGTTTGATTAGTTAACTTTGTCTTCTGCTGAGGCGAATAATAAAAGACATGCGCCGTTAAGGTGTCAATTTGAAGATAAAAGATATATTGGCCACGGGCCGAAGGTCAACTTGAATAAATATGTGTAGATAGAATATATGCATATACATATACATATATAGTTAGTTTGCTTGTTAGTCGGCAAATCTAATTAGTTGAATTAATTAATGTTCGATCTACTATTTGTTGACTGACTCATTTCGTATATATGTGAAAGAGTATTACTATCAAAAATATATAGTTAGTGGCCTGATTAGGTATATTTTCGCTTATAGTATTTGCATTTCACAGATGCTATTGCACTTTGTATTTGTACACAGCGATTTATTTAGCTAATAGAAATATTCTGGTTGTCTGGCGAACCGCAGGTATATGGCTATGTAATCTAATGCGACTTTGTTTAGGGTGTAGAATACTTGTTTATAAAATTATTGAAAAACTCTTTAAGCCTGTCAAGATTATATATCAAACATATTTTATGTCATTTATATGTTTAAAGATACTTAGGATCAGCTGAGATATATATAGATTATAAATATATTTATAGCGACGATATTTAAGTTATGTTTTATATTTAATGAGTCCATTTAATTAATTAAATAATTGGAAATCTGCTTTTTTAAGATATTTTTTATATTCTTTGGCTATATATATGCAATTCTTTATATACAAACAATTGATAAATTTAATAAATATTGAAACTATTTTTTCTATGTAAAAATATCGTCATCGTCTATACAATTCCTTATTGATTGTAAAAAGAGAAGAATTTTTGTATATACATTCTAAAGTAGCTTTCATGGAATTCCAAATCGAAATCAGATTGATCATAGAATTATTTTTGTTATACTCAAACAATATTTAACACATGATACAATTGCTTGCACATCTTGAAGTATTTATTTGATACACAAGCCCAATCAACTCGTGTATGTGTATTTATATCACTCGTAACTGCATATATTTCGTAGCATCAATAGTTTCGGTTTGAGTTCACCTGGCACTGACATGACTTCAAGGATGCGGGGGCGTTATTTAATCATGCCGCGCCGGCGTTTTGATTATGATTGTTGATAAGAAATTCGCATTTATTTATAGCCAACGCTTTGAAAACACACGGAGCGCACATTCTGACCCGTTTTGAACTGAACCGTACCGAACGCATGCCATCTCGCTTACTCACATACACCAGCTGCTGCTGCTGCGGCTGCGGCTGCGGCTGCCTGATCGATAGCTTGGTAAGCCGTTTACGTTGCCCGTTTCGGGTTGAGGCATCAACTTCAATATATGTACGTATGTATATATAGATGTCTTGCAACTCTATTGCGGAAAAACGACAACTTTACGGTTTCCGGACTGGGACTGCACCACGTCTGCGGCGGTTCTGTGGCGAGCATGCACTGAAAGCGCTTTTTTTTATTTATATAAATTTTTGTTTTTTTTTTGGCATCAAGCGAACTTGCACTGATTGATAAGGCAGCTAAATCGAAGCGCAGCAAATCGCACCGCCAGCGTCTGGCCTGTCACTGATCAACTGTGATGCCTCAGTGTTTCGCCTGCGCATGAGTGTACGAATGTGTGTGTGTGTGTGTGTGTGTGTGTGAAGATTTGTAACAGTAGCTGCGGCTGCATCTGTAATGGTGTATCTCTCTGTGTATCACATCTCTGTGCTTGTGTGGGTAAGCGTAATCGCTGCAATCCCAAAGGTAAGACAAATGCAGCGACTGAGGCGACCTTCTGCCCGCACCTTACCGCTGCCATTGCCTGACAGCCGCTTGCATAGGGAAACGCTCGTGATCAGCGACGCGTCGTCGTCAGTGTCTGCCACCATCCACTGAGAGCGACAGAGAGAAAGAGAGAGCAGAAGTAAGAGTGAGAAAGGGCAACAGGCTATGCTGATCGACTGTGCCACATTTAATATTGTATAGAATTCGCAAGATTGGGGGAGTATATCCTAAATTATTACTATTATATTATTATATATTACTTAAAATTATTATCATTATTTTTTTTTTATTTATTATATTATTTTAAATTATTATTTTTATTTAATTGCAGCCTAAATCCATAGCACAGCTTAAATATTTATATTTATTTTGATCTAAATGTATGCTAAAGTAAGAAAAGTAATGAAAAGGGATAGCTGAAGGCTAGTTTAGTTCGATTTTTTGTTCATTTTCTGTTTGTTAATTAAAAACTCAATTTTGTTTAATAATCTGATAAAATTTTAATAACGCTAATAAACAAAAATTAGGGGAAGTAAGAATACGAGTAATTTAGAAACAGAAGACCAGTTTGGCTGAAATATTTCTAAATTTTGTTTTTTTTTTTTTTTTTTTTTTTGTCTCAAAATAAAATTTCAACAGACATATCTCAGCTAGAGTTTGCTGTTGAATAATGAAAAAAGTTTCTATAAAACAGTTTAGGTTCATTGCTCTCTTCACATTATATTGTCTTAAAAATTCTTTAATAAAACTGATAATAACTTTAAATTTATGATTAAAATTAATAAAAAGTAAACTTCTGTTAAATTTAGTTTTTGTTTACTGAATAATGATTCTCTTTAAAGGAGATTCTTCAGGGTATTTTAACTGCGTCGCTCGCTTCACATTACATGATTAGAAATTGTTCGCAAATATGATGAGCTCAGCCCACAGTATTTACGATAGGCATCTGGCTTATCGACAACACAAATGGCTGTCAGGGAATGCCAATTGTCACTGATAATATCCCGCTGTGATTTTGATAATATGTTCGCCAAATGCTTCGGCTATTAGCGTTTATCAGTTCACGTTTGAGATTTGCTATGAACAAATTTATTAGTGTTGTAAAGGGGGATTTGGCAGATAAGTGCCATGCATGAGAAACGCATAAGAAGAGAGATGGCAATAATACTAATTAGTTGTGTAGGGTTAGCTGTGAACCTACTCGTGGCTCATTTATCAAAAATAGCATTAGCAACAGAGAAAGGCCTTCAATTATCCGCACATGATCTTGCATAATTATTAACTATATATGAATACTCATATATTTGTATATCTTCTATATACAAATCTACAAAAGCTTTCCATAGTTTAGTGCGGCATTTCTTTTTTTTTTATTATTTTTTATTTTATTTATTTTTTTTTTTTATTATTTTTCACTCATGTGCCGCCCACTCAACAAGCCTCAACAGCTGACTGTTCTGGCGCAGAATGATATTTCTTATTTATAAATAAGCAAGATAATATATTAATATATCTATATCTCTTCATAATATGCATATATATATTTTTCTTTATTTATGGCGAATTAGCCGAATCGACAAACGCACGTAACATGCCACAGTGCCTGGGAATAGTCTGCTACCACTGCGTCTTTGACTGCGACGACTGCGCCTTTGCGCCATGCTCAGCGAGCGGCAGGAATACGCCGGAGCTGTGGAAAGTTTGGCGGGCACCCAATCGATTGTTGGTTAATTTTCTGTGGATGTCAAAACAATCAATAGGCAATACAGCTCGAGAGCTCATACACAAGCGCCATGCTACACGTCTTATGTCAAGACGCGGCTATGGATAGCGCTAAGTAGTCAAGTATTTGGCTGTTTTTGCCGCCGCGGTCAGTGCGTGTTTTTTTTTTTGTTTTTTTTTTTTTTTACTTTGGTGTGGGTGGGTTGCTTCCTTTGGTGGGGCAGCGCGTGTATTTTATTTATATTTGTATGACATTGCTACCCACTGAAATGTCAAAAGCAAACAAAGCCAAGCACCGCCGCAATAATAATAATAATAATAAAAGCAACAACAACTACAACATGAGCATCAGCAATGGCAACGATGCGAAAAACGCTTGTGCCGCTTTCAATCCAGACACACGCACAGATACAGATACAGGCACAGATACACAGATACACAGATACAGATACAGATACTTTCGATTTTCACATGCTTTCATTTTCCGTTGGCGTTGGCTATGCTCGCGGCCCGTGCTTTGATTTGAATGGGCTGTCATTGAAGCCTGTTTGGGTTAGTAGTCTCCAGGCATTGTAAAAGATAGTGTCAAGGGCCGGGCTAAGATTTGCTGCTGTTTCTGTTTCTGTTTTCCTTTTTCCTTTTTGTTTGTTTTTGTCGTTAAACAGATAAACAGTTAGGCAAATAGAATAGTAGGTGTAATTTGCTTTGCATAAATAAATGGACTGCTCATATCCGTGTAACGAGCCTAACAGTAGTTAAGTTGTTTTTCTTTCTGAATCAATTTCATTGGAAAAACTTTAATCCTGTAATTATTTAGTTATAAATTGAATAATAGTTATAAATTGATATGCAAAAATTATTAGGCTATGAAATATAAATCCAACAACGAATGGAAAATATAGATGAAAGAAAAGTTATAAAAATTTATTTTTAATTTTTTTATAAATTAAATTTATATTTCTATAATAAATAACTAAAATAAAAACTGAATATTACAAATTTTCTTATATCTTTTAGGTCCTATTTTGTTAACAGGAAATTAAAACTGAACAAAAATTTAAAGTAATTTATAAACAAAAATATGTATTTATATTTATGTTTACATTAATTTAGACTGACAATATATAAACCAATAAAAATAAAAATAAATAAATAAAAAATATTAAAAATATATCTATATAAATTTATTTGTATTTTTATTTTTTTTTATTATTATTATTTTTTTTTTTTTGCTATTTAATTTATTTAATTTTCAATATCAAATTGTATATAACAAATTTTTTGTTAATTTTATTTTTATTTAATTTTATTTTTATTGATTTCCATTTTTAATATTTTTTGGCAAGCTAATTAAATTAGAATTGAAACAAAATAATAACCTATCAATGATAGTAAATAAATCCGCACAGAAAAGTTTCCCTTTAGCAAAACTCTATTAAATCAGCGCTAGGTTAGCAACAAACAAATGGCAATTTCCATAGAAATTGTTACTTCATTTATGCATGTTCCACACGTAAACCCATATTAAACAGTTCAATGTCAAAATGGAATTGAAACACTTGTTCATAATTATATAAATTATGGCAACAACAGTGCATGGATGGCTAATTTGTATAGAGCAAACAGTAAAAAAAAACTTTGCACGCACAGCTTATGTATATAGAAGATTATGTATGTATAGCCATGATTCTATCATTATTATTAATTTTTACTAACCTGAGCTGCTGTTGCTGTTGTTGTTATTTTTATTTAATTCCGATGGATTTCCTTTATTTTTGCTATTCTTCCAAGTTTTTGACCTGGTCCGTTTACGTTGTAATACAAAAATATGTGTTGTCAGAGCTGTCGCATAAATATCGCATATATAAATATATATGTATATATTACATATACATGTATATATTTATGTTTATAGATATATGTATATATGTATATATTTATATATGGAAGTCGTCGTTATGTTTTGGCTATGTATTATTGCGTGCTTTGGTATCGTTATGTGGTATATAGCCAGCGCCGCCTTAAAACTGTGCCAAGGAACTGTGGCCCAGCGAGTGGGTCGAGTGGCGAAGGAGGATTTGCCTGGCCTGAACTTTCACTTTTAGTGCACACACACACACGCACCACACACTCTCTCACAAATTGTGCCCACAGATGGCGCTAGTTGCTTAGATAACACTTTTCTTTCTTCTCTTTTTGTATTATTTTATAATCATGCACTGCTTCAAAAAGCGGATATGTTTAGGATTAGACTTTATTTGATTTCGCTTCCGTATCTCTCTCGCTTTCTTGCTTGCTTTCTTTCTTTCTTTCTTGCACACACGCGACGGCTGATGGAAAGTTGTGATTATAATAAAAAACAGGAGCTAGTAAGACCGTCGGGTTCTATTCGTGGCGAATGTCAAGCACGCCGAGACACACACTAGAGCTCACGCCAAATACGATACGATACAAAAATTTCAATTTCAATTTAAATCCATTTCTGTATTTTGCCAGCGCTCGTCGTGGCAACCGTGGCAGCACCGCCAGTTGTAGTGGCAACGACGGCGACTTGGTCGCAATAAGAGTGTCATTCAAGGGCATTGCAAGGTCATAGCAGCTCACCAGCGACATTCGGTAGTCGGCAGTTGCGTCTTTCGCCCACTGGCTGGCTGGCTGACTACGCTGCCGAGAGTACGCATTGGCATGGGACTCATTCGGATAAATATACAGCAAGATACGATACGAGCACTTTTTTTTCGCAACTGAGAAGAGAACTTGTTCGCATTTAGAGAGCGTGAGCGGCGAGCGTGTGAATTGAGAGTTGAGCAGCTGGCCCGCCCGGCAGATCGCACGCTGCGCTTTAATTAGTATTAATTTGACATCAGCTGATACCCAACTACTGCTGCTGCCGTCGCTTCGAGAGTATCTTATAGAGATACAGTTACGCTTAAACTCACGAATTGCTTTCTAGACGTTTGTAACTGCGACCAGACGCGTCGTCGGCTGCTGCTGCTGCTGCTGCTGCATTGCGTTCTGCTTGCGATTCAGCCTGCCTGCCCGCCCGTGCGGTTGTCCTGTCGTTTGGCAACTGACGAACCGAATTCGAGCATGTTGCAAGCTTTGCGGCTTGCTTGAAACTCTCACTTTTCTCTATACTTCATCGGCTCTCCGTCTAGCACAGTGGGTTGGCTAGGGTGCTGTTTACGTATTCTGAGAGCGGGAGAGGGAGAGCAAGCATCAATTACTTTGCTATCGAACAGTGGGATAAAAGCTTAGGTGGATATGAAGCAATTGTCAGTTTATAAAATTTGCGAAATATTTAACAATTATGTTTATTTAAATTTATAATGACTAAACTTAATTTATTAAATTATATATAATTATTATTTATTATTTATTTATTAGATCAGCTACGAAAAAAATGACATAGTTGAGCTCACCAGCTGATTTTGCTGCCTTATTCCATTTCCACCCCAAAATGAAGTATTTACCTGCTCCAGAACAATTGCAAACTACCTGAAATGAGGCCAAGCCAATTAATATTGTTCCACTGTTACATGCTGTGCTGTGGTCCCGTTTAGTCTCAGTGCGCTCATCCTCTCTTTCTGCTTATCCCGCTCTTCGTCTATCTCACTTCAGCTAGTCAAGTGTAAACCCGGCGTTTATTTTATGATTATTATTTGTAAATGTTATTGTTTTGCTTAATGTTTGCTAAAATCGGTTTTCATTGTTTTGTTAAGCTTTCAGTTTGTTTTTAAATTGCAGTTTATTTAGTATTTTTACCAGCTGCCAGCCTGTCTATGATGTATTGTTTGAATACATGTGTATGTACAAATAAATATTAACACGCTGTGTGCGTGTGCTTCTGTATGTACATTTTGTACATACATTGGTATGCACATACAAATCTACATATAGTATTTAATACCTTGGGTGTTCTGTGCTCTTCGCTCTCATCTTAAAGGTGCGTTGACCGCAATTGGCCTGCTGCTGCAATACTACTGCAATTACTGTACACCGCTGAAAATGTACAGATGTGTGTGCATTTATGTACTTGTGTACGTGCTGTTGCTGGGCATTGCATTCGGACTCGAAATTATCCAAACAATCAAGCGAACGAACGAACTATGCCGCTATGCTGTGTTTGTATTTCTCTCATTTGCTTATTTTATCTCGCTCTCACTCACTCTCTCTCTCTCTTGGTGTGTTGTCATGCTCTTTGGATAATTCGCTCTTTTGCTCCACTTTCGGCTGTGGGTCAAAAGCTACTTTCGCTTTCATTTCAATGCGGCGGCGCTCTCCCAAAACAAAAATTATTCTCTGTTATTTCCACCTCTTCCACCCACCGCACATAAATTGCGCCTACGCTTCGAATAAAAATTGCTTTAAAGCTGCTTTGTTTAGCGTTTGAATTTGATTTGGTAATCATTATTTAAAGCAATTAGCATTTCGTAGCTCGACAAAATTTTCGTACATTTAATCTAAAGTTAGTTAACGATTAAGTTAAAAAAAATTTAATATATTATAAATCTTTGTGTGATTAGAAATAAATATTTAGTTAGTCAGTTATTTTCAAAATTTAAATATTTTCTTGTATATATTATAAATGTATTTGCATACTTTTAGGTGAAAATGTTATTATTTTCATTGAGTTTTTAAAAATAGATATAAATATAAAGGAGTATTTATTTAAATTTATCATTGTATTTTAAATTTTTGTACATCTTTTGAAAGGAGCAAAGCTTTTGCTTTTGTTAGACAGGAAGCTTTTTGCGCAACTATTTTGCAGCCCTGGCAGCCGAGAAGCTCACAGCTGAACAGCCCTGTTTTCGTAGCAGACAGCTGATTTGCTCTGACGTTGATTGTGTTTACGTGCTTCGTTTGATATTTGCCAACTGCTTGATAAGTTCAAATAAAACGATTTCTCCGTGTTTCCTGTGGCGTTATCGCCCACCTTTTCTACTGCCCCACCTAAAAAGTCAGCAGAAGCGAAAGCTACAGCACCTATATCAAATGTCAGCCAGTTTGCTCTGTGCCAGCAGTTCCCAAAACTCGCAACCTACGCAGGTGCCCGCGCTACCAATTCAACAGCAGCAACTGCTACTGCGACAGCAGTTACTGAGCTGCGATGGGAAAGCAGCAGCTCCTCATGTAAGTGCACTTGCATCTATGTATAGTGGGCGAAGGTCAGTAAAATCAGTGAATCAACCCAGTTTCTAGTTGCCATGGTAACTATAAACAGTTGTCTTTTCTGTCTGCGCTCAGCTGATTATCCCCTACAAATGCATTCAACTGCGCTGGAGCATATTAGAGCCTTCGTGAAGTATGTAACAGAATAATCTGACATACATATTTGGAAGGAATATGGAATGTGAGGAAATATTTTTGTCGCTGGTTCGCCTCGGCATCATTTTGAGTTAAACTCAAATGTAAATTCCATTCCATTTCATGCGATCTCAGACCACTTGAGCCTCTGTGCCAGAACTCGCCTAACCAGTGCTTCGTTTCTAGCATTCAGATTTGTCAGTTTTCATTTGTTAGCCGAGGCGACACATACAGAGAGTTCCCGGTCTAGAACAGCAAAGTAAATTTCTTTAAACCAACAAGATCTCTTTGCTATATTACTCTTCCATCGTCTCCCTAGATGCTCATTGAAGATGAAGTTCATGGAGTAATTGAGATCCCCAGTCACATTGAGGAGATTGTCAATCATCCAATATTCCAGCGACTCAAAAAAGTGAAGCAAACGGGCTTGCTCTCATTGGCCTGCAAACCGGCGTCGTCGCATACGCGTTACGAGCACTGCATTGGGTGAGCTAGATGAGCTGCTGTAACGAGATGCGGAGATTAATTAACTTTTGCCAATTATAGCACTTACAAAAGCGCACAGGATTTACTGGCGGCCCTCAAGCGCAATTCCAACTGCGAGCGAGAGCTGCCCGAATGGTGCCGTCGATCGGTGGAGATTGCGGCGCTGCTGCACGATGTCGGACATGGTCCATTTTCGCATTACTGGGAACAAGTTTGTGGCGAAGGCCAGTTTGATGTGAGTAACGGTTGTTATACATAAATAAAATCTAAATATATATATGTATATACTCACTCCGTAGCACGAGCTCAACGGACTGCTATGCGTGGATAGAATATTTGCTGATATGAAGTGCGAAGTATTGCGGTCTCTTCGCGATGACAATAACGGGCGCGGTGTACAGCTGATAAAGGCTTTGATTATAGGTCAAAGTGAGTTGCTCACCTATCCAATGCTGGGACTCGGCTACCTCTTTGATATTGTCCACAATAGTCGCAGCGGCCTCGATGTGGACAAGTGGGACTATCTGCGGCGCGACAACAAGCGCCTGAAGCTGCTGAGCGACGAGGATATGCAGTTCGATGATGTCTTCCTCAAGGCGCGCATTGCACTGGATGGCCAACGCATTGAGCATCGCTGCGAGGACTTCCATCTTATATATAAGCTCTATACGGCACGCTGGCGTCTCCACATTGGCGCCTATCAGCAGCCCAAGGCGCTAGCCTTCGATTTTCTGTTGAGCAAGATTGTGCGACGCTGCCAACCGCAGCTGATTGATGTGCGAGCCGATTCCAAGGAGTGGCTAGATTTGTATGACGATCGCGTAATGCAGTTAATAGACAACGATCCGCTGACCGTTTACCTGCGCTCACCCGAACGCTGGATCGAGTCGGCGCCCTGTGACGGCAATAATGAGGAATGTATATGCGTGAGGCGTAAGAAGACGGCGCCTGGCGTTGACATGCAGCCCGATGAGTGCTATCCGCTCTATGGCGATCCCAGGTATGTCTCGCTTCTAATTATTAATAAAATATATGTTCATTTGAATTTCATTTCTTAACAGCAAGAAACGCAGCTTTGAGCGTCTAACTACTCCAACCATAATCAGCGCTTGCTATGCCTTGCAATAGCCAAAGCCAATTCGCCGGGAAATTGCGCGGCTGAATTAATTAAACGTACATTTGATTCCTTTTTTATGTTTTTACCATATGTTTTTATGTTTGCCATATATTTTGTATACTAATAAATTCAATGTGTTCAATTCTCAGGAATTTTATATGTTTCATTTATCTGCGATTTTCATTCCATTTATTTCTTTTCATTTCAGAAAATATAGTCCACAATCAACTGTGATAACTGTTAGAATTTCTTATTGTCTTAGACATTTTGTTGCTCTTTAAATTGAAAACACATTTATTTTTTTATAGTTCTTATAATATTTATTATTTTATACAGTTTGTGAGCTTAGAGTTCTTAATTCTATTTAAGATTAGGCGTTTATAAACAACAAATTTCAACAGTTCACTTGAAGACATCACAATTCGAATGCAGTTTCTCATAATCACTAACTAAACAATATAAATAATTTTGTATTAAAATATACGGTTAATGCTTTTTCAAGACCAATTTGAAATATACAAAATGATAAACAATTAATGATTATTGGCTACAGCATGAATGGGCTCGTGTGGTAGGGGTAGCGCACTTGACTACAGCATCGAGTCTATATAATTTTTACAAATGTGTAGAGTGTGAGAGAGAGAGAGGAAGCGAGAGTCCAGTCCTCAATTGCGCTCCAATGCTTCTGAATGGGCCGTCACAATGCGCTGGGGCAAATGGGCGGCCAGATATTGTTTGTGCAGTCGCTGGCGACAGAATTGATAGAACTCGATTTCGTTGGTGAAATTACGGCGTACAATATCCTTGACGTGCTCGCTCACGGGCGGCTTGAAGTTGTTTTTGTTGATCTTGGTCAGATACTCGGCGCTAGCTGAGAATTAGAGAAGAGAATTGTTGAAGAGTTATCAAATCAGAAAATGGAGAAATGGAAAAAGGCTCAAAATGGCTTTACTTACTCGCATAGATATCACGCACACCCTCAAAGAAGCGTGGCACATATTTCTCCAGCACAGAGAGCGTTGTATTGAAGTCCTCCAGGACGCCAACCACGGCATATTGCTGCTCCACGGCAAACTTGGCGCGCTCCAAAGCGCCCACCGTATTGAAAGGTCTATGGAGGAGGGGAATACCAGCTTAGATTATTTATATATATTTTTCAATCGGCTCCACTCACGTGCACTCGTAGTCGTGGCCGCAGAAGAACAAACTCTGGCGTCGATGATCCCCAATGCCCTCCACCGTCACACCCTGGGTGTAGGTGCACTCCTGATCGCCGCTGAGCACGCAGGTCTCGAAGTCCTTCTTCAGCCAGGCGGGATGCGGCAGGGGCAGGTCGGGAAAGGCGGCCTTGCGCTCCACGAAATACCAGGGGGCGCGCACATAGTAGAACCAGCTTATCACACGCTCCACCGGATCGCGCACCACATTCAGATAAATGGGCGTGGGCAGATTGAACTTGGTAAAGTTGGTGAAGCAGACGTGCTTGATGAAGACGGACGGCTCGGGCAGCTCGCTGATCACCTCGGCCATTTCCTGCTGCTGGTCCTCGGCCAGGCGTATGGTCTCCACCTTCTGGACGGCATCGCGATGAAACTGAAAGTTGTTGCGCTCCGACAGCCGGCGCAGCAGCTCCATAAATGTCTGGCTGCCCACTTTGGGCACACGATTGAAGAAGACCAGCTCCATTTGAGCCTTGCGCGTGTTGTTCAGATCGCGCACGTTCAGCGTCGCCATCTGATGTAAGAAGAGAAACGGAGAGTGTTAGAATATGGAAGAGATGTGTGTGGAGGGGGAGAGAGTGATTTTTTTTCAATTTACTTTTGCCATTTTTCATTAGTTTCAAACATAGTTACCTCATGTTCCTTGGTGTTTGATATTTGATTCGTATCTAAATAAATTCACAGCCTATAAAAATCGTAACTTTGAGTTAAAAGCTTTAAGGGGTAAAGCTTTTGCAACGTAAAGATGCAAAGCTTTGCAGAGACAAGCCCGTTAAATATTCAAAGAAGCTTCAATGTTGCAATTAAGATACAATAATATTAATATTAATGGGTAATATTATTATTTTTTATTTATAATTATATATTATTTTTTATTGATTAATATATAAATATTATTTTTTATTTATTATTTAAAATTTATTTTAAACATAAGTTTTTACTTATTAAAGTTAATGTAAAAACTTTATTGTTTTATATATTTATTAATTTATATAATATTATTCTTAGCTTCTTTTCAAAAATAAAATTCCATTTTCTCATATATGTATTTATTTTAAATTTTATTTTTGGTATACATTGAAAATTGTTTTTGGGTATCTCCTTCAATTCAAGTTCTTCTCCAGGTTCAGTGCCAAATACTGTTTATATAGATGCTGTTTGCAGAAATTATAGAAATCGTATTCCCGGCTAAAATTACGCCTTACCATGGCCCAAACATCGGCATCCACGGCGTAGCGACGGAAGCGCTTGCTGTAGCTTTGCTTGTGCACTGCGAAAAGGGAGAGAGGGAGATAGAAAGAGACAAAGACAGGATGGGAATAGGCTTTGGGTACTGGGTATGCTATATGGGTAACCTACAGTTGAACAGCGTCCGCGCGTGATTGAAATAACGTGGCACGTACTTCTCCAATACGGTGAGCGTAATGTTTGGCTGTTCCCATGTGCCCACCACGGAGTATTCCTTCTCCACATTGCGTTTGGCCTTTTGCACTCCGTAGCGCGTGTTAAAGGGTCTGCAGTTGAGTAAGTTTTACTGAATTCTTGCTTGGTGCGATCTCAAGCTGTACTCACAAGCAATCGATGTCATTGCCGCAAAAGAACAGGGATTGCCTCTTGAAGTCCTCCACCTCATCTCTCATCGAATATTCGATGTATTGACACTCGGGACTGGCACGGCGCACGCACTCATTGAAGCTCTGCCTGTACCAGGCATCCGGGTGCTGCGGATAGGCCGCATAGACGTTGCGACTTATGATCTTCTTCTTCAGCGTGCGCTGCTGATAATAATTATCGATCATGCGCTCCACGGGATCCCGCACTAGAGATATATAAATGGGCTTGCGTCGATTATATTCCGCAAAGTCGATCCAATTTCCATGCGCCACATAGAGCGAATCTTTCTCCAGTCGACTGACGAAACGCGTCTCGATCCTCTCCTGCTTGGCCGTGCGCATGCGAGTTCTCTTTCGCACAGGTCCCTTGAGCACAAGATTCACATCGTTATGCTTGGAGAGCAGAGTCAGCAGCGGAAGCATTAGCTCTGTGCCCACCCGAGTCGGACGATTGAAGAAGACGACTCGACGTCGAGCAAGTCGTGTATTGTTCAGCCGGAGCGTCGTAACATTGACTAGCTAAGAGAACATTCGATTGCTAGATATTGCTTTCGATAATTGTAGGCCCAACACAACACAGATAATTGCGATTACGAATAGGGTGAGTCACAAATAGTATGTGCAAAGAAACTATGAAACTGCAGCTCTATTCTGAATTTCTAGAACTAGGCGAAACTGCTCGATTAAGAGATACCCTGAACCCTGCGAAGAGCTAAAATTACGTATATTCTCAACTTCTATTCTGCATAGGCAGAGATAATATATACCATATATATGTTTAAAGAAATATTATGTAAATATATTAAAAAAACCATTTCAATAGATTCAGGGTATAGAAAACTTAATTTATAAAAATTTTGTAATCACAAACAAAAGTCGTTTATTTATAGATCAAAATATGTGTTTTTATAGATAACTTTGGATTTGCTGAGATAAATGCTGTAATTGCGAGCTATTAGATTACTGCTTCGGATCTAATCAAAATTGAGCCGCTCTAGCTCAGCTCGCTTTAAAGCTATGTACTGTTTGAAGAGACGCTGCTTGCAGAAATAGTAGAAATCATATTCGTGGGTAAAATTACGCCTGATCATAGCCTTAACGTCTGCATCGACTTTGGGCTTTCGATTATTGCGATTGCGATTCTGTAGCGATTTCTGATACACTGCAAAAAGTAAAATGTTTGACTGCAGCTCGTTTGGCTTTACTTGTGTGGAATCTCTTACATGGATATAGCTTTGTGGCACGCGCAAAGTATCGGGGTATATAGTGCTCCAGCACGGTTAGGGTTATGTTTGTCTCCTCCCAGGTGCCCACAACCGCATATTCCTCCTCAACCCTGCGTTTGGCTATTTGTATGGCCAGCGGCGAGTCGAAGGGTCTGCAAGCATTAAGCATGTGTCTTAGAGAAATGTTGTAATGGCTTAAACCAATAACAATTGGGATCACAAGTGAGATAGATCTGAGATGTTGATAAAGTATTCCTTTATACAAATCTCTTTCTTGGTTGATTCCTCATGTTAATGGCTTGAGAGGGCTTGCTCGTAGGGCTACCCTCGAAGGATTACTAAGAGGGCTATCCCAGAGAATACCTCAGTGGGCTTCCCCAGAGGGCTAGCCCCGAGGACTACCCCGTAGGGCTACCTCTGATGGCTACCCAGATAGCTACCCTCGCGGATTTCCTGAAGGATTATCCCGAAGTATTTCCTGAAGGATTATCCCGAGGGCCTACTCCGAAGGATTACCCTGAGAACTCCCCGAAGAGCTACCCGAAAAGACTACTCACAGACAGTCCCGATCGTGACCGCAGAAGAACAGCGACTGCCGCTTGTAGTTGCCCACATAGTCCTTCACCGTCCCCGGCACGTATTGGCACTCGGCGTCGCCGTTGCGAACGCAGTCGTTGAAGTTCTTCTTGTACCAAGCGACGGGTTTGATGGTGGCCGTCGGATGTTTGTGATAGAATATGGCATTGAGGTAGGAATTGCGCACATAGTAATACCAGCTGATCATGCGCTCCACTGGGTCACGCACTAGGTTTATAAAAATGGGCTTGGGCAGGTTGTACTGATGGAAATCGATCCACGCGGTGTGCTCGATGTAAACGGTGCCTGGCGCTTGATTGAAAATGTACCGCGCACGTTTGGATTGTTGCTTGGGCGTGAGAATACGGGGACCATTTTTCATCATTCCCACATGATCGACTTCAAAGTTATTGACGTCCTGTAAATCGTCCATGAATTCCACCAGCGATTCGCTGCCCACTTTGGCGCAGCGTGGGAAGAAAATGCGATCCATTTCGGCTTTGGGCGTGTTGTTAAGGTGTGACGGTGTCAGATCTTGCAGCTGGCAGGAGTGGGGTGTGGGGGTAGAGGGATAAGGATTAGAGGAAAGGCAGCTGACACACCCACACACACACATTAGAAACATTTAGGATTAGAAACAAGATGGGTTGTGCTCAAGTAATAAAAATTTGTAGTTTCTTTTTGTTTTTATTCTACTAATAATATCTGACTTTGATTTAATCATGAACTACACAGCTGCAGCCCACTAGAACCAACTAATTCAACAGTCCATGCTTCTCCAACTCATGCAGATTGAGGGCCAAATACTGCTTGTACAAACGCTGCTTGCAGAAATGATAAAACTCGTATTCGTGTGTGAAATTACGTCTAATCATCTCCTTCACCTCGGGCTCAATGTAGGGCTTACGCTTGTTCTTATTCCGATTCGTGATCTTGTTAGTGTGCACTAATTGTTGGGGTAAGGGGAAAGGAAAGGTATGAAGGGGGAGAAACCGTTAGAGTCTGATTTTCTTTTGGGGCAGTGAAATGCCGTCGACCTACTTTCATACATCAGCTTCGCGCCGCGAAAGAATCGTGGTATATAGCGCTCCAAGACGGTCAGGGTTATGTTTGTATCCTCCCAGCTGCCCACTACGGCGTAATCCCGCTCCACATGCTCCTTGGCCATTTGCACGGCGGTGGGCGAGTTGAAGGGACTGCAAAGTGGACGGACGATTGAGGGCGATTCGCTCAGAGTGGGGAAACCCTTTCCGCTACTTACAGACAATCGTCGTGATGGCCGCAGTAGAACAGGGATTGCCGCTTGAAGTTCGGTATGAAGTCCTTGACCGTGTGCGGCACGTACTGGCACTCGGGATCGCCGCTGCGCACACATTCGTTGAAGTTCTTCTTGTACCAGGACTCGGGCTTGATTCTCTTATTCGGCGACTTGCGATACTCGATGGCATTCTTGTACGAGCTGCGCGCATAGTAGAACCAGCTGATGACACGCTCCACCGGATCCCTCACCATGTTTATGTAGATCGGCAGGGGCAAATCGAACTCGCTAAAGTCCAGCCAGTTGATGTGCCGTATGTAAAAGGTGCCCTCGTCCAGTCCGGCCACCAGCTCCGCTGCCTCGCGTTGCGCCTGTTTGTTCATTTGCCTCACGGTGGGCTCACGCAAGCCGCTGCGCTCCAGCTCCAGGTCATCGTTAAAGTCCACCAGTGCTATGAACAGCTCCAGCATTGCCTCACTGCCCACCTTGGCGGCACGATTGAAGAACAACACCTCGACCTCAGCGTTCTTTGTATTGTTCAGGCGGTCGGCACTGAGACGTTGCAGCTGCAGATCGATTAACTTTTAACTCTGATAGTCCAGCAGTAAAAACCAAGTTAATGGCGAAGACAGATCCCATAACACTTGCGAAGCAGCTCAGCGATAGCAAATAAATGTACAGCATAGATTTCTTAGTTCATAAAAGAGAAGGGACTTTGAGACCAGAACTTAAGCGAAAAGTATTTAGAATTCCTAAGTCAATGTCTTTCCAAATAGCCTATCAAGTATTTAGCTCAGCTTCATTAATGAAAAGTTTGATGAAAATAATTAATTTTGTTACTAAATATTTAAATAAAAAATCGAATTGTTTGATTTATTATTGAAATACTTGTATAACTTTAATCAAATGAAGTCGACTATCTCTGAGACCAGGAATTAAACTAAAGGCATTAAATATAAAAAAAAGTATAATTTCTTAATAATTGTTTTTCAAAATTGAAATAGCAAGAATTTCACATACAATAATAATAATGATACAAAAAAAAAAAAAAAAAAAAAAAAAAAAAAAAAAAAAAAAAAAAAAAAAAA